TTAAGAGATTATTTGTGGCCAATACCGGAGATAATGTATGCTGAAACAATATTTCTTTAAAAGGTGTATTTGTTTGGTTGTAATAGTGACTCGCAATAGATAAACTAGAGAATCTTAAATATTCCCAAATAAATTTAAATCTGGGTACGTTGGTTCTTTACCAAAAACGAGTGAAATATCGTGAGTCAAAAAAATATTGTCATTGTCAAAATTGACAATGATCACTTATGTTACTGCAAAGTGACCAGCACTTGCAAAGTTGCCAATAAAGGATGTTATCTCTGCACTCAGAGTTGTGCATCACGTACCATTGTTATTTGTTGACCTCAGATGGATCAGAACACCACAATATATTGCCACAGCTAAAACAATAGAAAACTGACTATAATACAGTTGTGGATATATTCTTGTATATTCATGAGTGTTGGCATCACTACCAATGGTTTTCAACTGTGGTTTTATTTGATTGTTCCTATAGGTCTCATATCGACCACAGCTGTTTAACATTAAAGAATTTCTTGCATTGTCAGTCTGTGTGTAACTAAACTATGCAAATCCATATATATAATGTTACTTCCCTGGTCAGGCAAAATAAAATGTTGACTACCATTCATGTCACGTCACTCTAGAATTGTGAGAATAGTACACAAAAGTCATGTTTTGTTTTGACTCTGCATTACTGCTCGATGTTCGCATCTTCTGGAGTTTTTTCGCAGTACATTATAATTCACAGATGTAGTCATCGTTACCGAAAAAAATATGAAGAAATGATATTGCAAAGTGTAACATTTTAATCACCTACACTCGGTGACGTTTGTATGCAATATTTATTGCCTGCAGGTGACAAATACGACTCTGAGCCGAGAATGACTAGTGTGCGCGAATTTGATGATGAAATGAACAATCATAGAAGACGAAAGCAGGGCAGTAGAAGAAGAGGGTCTGACGAAGACTCGCCTCCAGAATACGATGAAAGGTAGGAAGAGTACCGTCTACTTATTCATTGTGTAGTAGTGATAGTAGAAGACATGGGTGTACTGTTCTGTAGCCCTGCATTTCACTGCTGTGATTTGTTTAACTGGAACATATGCCACTTAGCTAACAAAGGGTTTCCCAATAATTCCATGAGGAGGACCCCCCGCTTTGGAATGAACAATAGAGCTTGATTATCATAATAATAAATATCCTAATGACAGACATTATATTGAACATATGCACATGCTTTTGTTTAAGGTAGAGATGCAGGTTCGTGGGCACTTGGGAGTGAATTTTTTTTTTTTTGCTTTTTATTATCCAAACAGTCTTGGCTATAGACTGTTAAAATTTTGTAGAATTGTGAATAGTGGAACATACTCAAAAAACGATTTTAAAATATAGATATTAGGTGCAAACATTCTCTCTTTTGAATGCTTAGCAAGATTTAGCAAGGCTGTACATAAATAATAGAAAAGAAACATGGTGAAAAAATGAAATGACGGGATCTCCATATTATGCACTATATTTAATTTTTAACAAAACGATAAAACATTTAAATTTGGAACTGTTACAGCCATTTTAATTATGAGCATTAGCAAACTTCTTACTGAGTGAATTGTTATGCAAGTTAGCAATTATCTCAGCTTCTTTTTAGTGCACATCCCAGAACTTTAAAAAAAAATAGCTCCTAGACGCTTTGACCTTTTGTTTTGAAATTTTCACAAATGATTGACAATGTGTTTATCTTCAAAATGCCGTCGGGGCATTGTTTTTGGTTGAACAGTGTTACAACAATCGTACAGACAACTAGCCTGGGTGTTAATTTATGCATAAACTTGAAGTAGTGAAGTTTGAGCTGCTGCCCTGCAAAATTGACCACTGGTAGACAGTTTTCAAGACGGCACTTCCTTCTTAGTAAACAGATGTACCCATAAACTAATTTTGACAGGAAACAGAAGCATGGTTTAGAAGCTAATTTTTGTAAATCACCTTTGACCAAAAAAGCACATTTTTGTGCACATTTCAAACTAAAGTGTCCATAACAAAAAAATACTAACAACATTTTTAAAATTCATACAATAAGCTTTCCGAAAATATATAGTTTTGTGGACAAGGGAGGTCATCTTGATTTCCCAATTAACTAATTAAAATACCTGTCAGGTAAACTGCATCTCTACCTTAATTATTCGATTCAAGAATGGCACCCATTTGTAGGTCAAAAATCACACGTTTTCACTATTTCAAACCCTATCTCAGTCGTGGTACATCGGACCTTGATGCATAAAAGTTTATTTTTTATGATGGGTTTGAAAATGGCCCGTTAGCAGTCATTTAGTTTTAACCCTATTCCGGTCAGGGGAGTTTCATGCTATCAGTTAAGTCGGTGAAAAACGGTCATGATTCAATGCACTCCAGTAGCCAGCATCTGTGCATGCTATCCTGCCAGACATTTTTGCAAAAATAGGCCATAGTTAACAGACTGTATCGACCTCAGTTTTCACATTTTTTGCAATCTGTTCGCATACACACTTCATTACCACCATGGACAACAATTTCTCGTATAAAAAAA